GGCGCGCGTGCAAGCGCCGCCCCTGCGCTGCGGGACGGGATTGGTCGGTTTTGGTGGGAGAGAAAAGCGGAAGCGGTAAGGAAATGGTTAAAACCGGGGAATTTCGGTGCAGTAACGAAGGGCTCGGTGCCGCACTGGGCAACCGTGGCCACCGCAGCTGCGGGGAACGGGGACAGGGAGTCAGAAGCCAAGGAGAGCGGTGAATTGGGGATCCCGGTAACACCGGAATCCTTTAGCACCACCAGCAGCGTTTGAGGTGACACACAAACCTCCAGATTTGAGAATGACAGAGGGATGACTGCCAAAAAACGAATATAAATGTGTAAGTCTGCTGGGAAATTACACACCGGGTTATTTACACAACAGCAGCAGAGCTCCCAATCAATCTGCATCTTCCTGTGAGAAGCCCCTGACAGGGCTGCCTTGTTTTGAAATAACCTCATTCTCTCTCCTCGTTCATCATCCCTCAGCCCAAATCCCTGCCGAGCAGCCAGGTCAGTGGTACCCAACGTCGCAATCCCCCAGCCGTGCTGGGTAACGACCGGCGATGGACACAGCTCAGAGGTGTTCGCCCTCGAAGGCATCGCTGCCTCCCCTGTCCCAAGGTGGTGATGTCCCCCAGGTATCCCCGTCACACAAATCACACTGCTCACACCACCATCCAGCGCACCAGCCTCAAATTTAACTTCTAAACCACTCAAACCACTCACTGCACTCTTCCGGGTGCTCGCCGCGGCGCAGCCCACGCAGGCACGGAAGCAAAGAGGTTTTAGATCTTTGGGTAGTTATTTATTGTTAAAGGAACCAGCCAGGCCAGCCTTAGTGTGCTGCTACACAGGCGTCCCCTCGTGCTGCGCCTCCTTCTCCTTTGCAGCTCTCCTTCTTGTTTGCCACTCCCTCCTGTGTTTTATCTTATCCTCTGCCTTCAGCTTCTGTGCCTCCTGGAACACCTGCAAGAGGAGCGCAAGGGTGGTGAGAGAAGGGAGACACAGAGCTGCCTGCTGCCGAGCACAGCGGCTCCACCACCGCTGCCCACAGAGGCCAGGAGGCCTCTTGTGCTGTGCACTTCCCCCAGGGCTCCAGCCATTGGTACCCTGGAGACTACTCGAGTCTTTCATGGAGCTCTTTGCCAAGCTTATTATGCATTTCTCTACAGACGTTACCACCCTGCCCTCAAATTCAAAGCATGCATTAGCATCAGTCTTTTCCAAGTGTGCCCTCCTATACAGGGATTTTTGTTCTACTCCAGCTTCGAGGCTCTCCCTCCATACAGCTCCCTACCTTGATGCAGAAAGCCTTCTTCACAAGCCAGCGCTTGGTGATCCTCCTCCTGTAGCCGGGGGGCAGGCTGTACTGGATGTTCAGCTGCTTGCAGGTGTTTTCGAAGGTGTCGTAGCGGACACGGCGCAGGTACGCAAGGAGCTTCTTCCGGCGATCCATGGCCATCAGCATGCGGCGACGGTTAATTTTATCCTGCAAAGGACTCCACGTTCAGTAGACTGCAGACAGATTATACTGCCATTCCAATAAATTACTTAGAATAAACCAGGTTATGGCTGCAAGGAAACAATCAGGTTAAGGACAGTATCTTGGAAGAGCTTTTCTTGGCAGATACTGCAAGCCCATTAGGTCACTACGAGGAGACCCGAGATTTAATTTACTTCTCACTGAAATTGCTCCCTTCATTCTGCTTCGGGTAGGGAAGTGGTCGTTATGACATTAACACAGCCCCGTTCACCAGACAGTTTTGTAGGCAAAGAGAGAATGCAGCTGCTGAAGTGATAACATTAATTACATTGAAAACTGAGCGGTGAAGCCACATCTGCAGCGAGGATAAATCCAGCTCAGCTCTGTTCAAAGGAACCTGCTCAGCCATTTCCACCAACCCAGCAACATAAAAGAACACGCTCCCCATCTCAGTCGCTGGGAGCGTGGCTGTGACTGAGCCAGAGGATGGTTATAACTATTTTATAAACCTTCTTAGGAAAGCCATAATCCCCAGAATTAAACTCCTTTTGTCCTAAACTGAGAAAACAACCTGAACAGCTGCTGTCTCAGACTGCTGATGGTTACCTTGGGATGCATCTGGAGATGTTCCTCGTAAGTGCGTATCTTGGCAGTCAACGCGGCAACTGTAAAGAAGAGACAGAAGAAGCCGTGTGAGAGCAGCAGCTTCCCAGGCTGAGACAGGATCATTTGCATTCCCTGCGCACTGCCAGATGAGCCCTGCTGCTCTCCTGGGTACCCACAGCACCACAGCAAACAGCACTGCACAGCCTCTGAATAAACACAAAACGAGCCACAGAACTCACCCTACACAACCGGGGTCAGCACTGTCACTGCTGTGAAGCTGCTCAGTTAGAGGTTAAAATTTTAACACCAGAATTTATGTAAAATGCCTCTTGTGCTCATTTAATTACCGGGGGCTTGACATTCATTTCACTTTGCCTGGTTCAAGCTTTGGAGGAACAGACAGACATTGGGAGTGCATTTCCAAGAGCAGCAGGCAGCTCCCTGTGACTTCAGGCTTTGGAGAAAGGCACTGGTGGTGTCCTGAGAAACTGAGGGCCTTTGGTAATGGTAATGCGTGCATCTCGGTCAGCAGCAGCACGGCCTTCATCCCTGCACTGTGCTGTGCTTCAGCCAGAGCTAACATCTAAACAATGGCTAAATCTAATATTTTGGCAATGAATGCAGTGCGATGCTTCCTGTTCAGAAGCACTTCAGAACAAGGCAGGTGCTGCCTTTGGAGGGTGGATGTGGAGCAGGGATTTGGAAAGCGCCCCAGTAAGTGCGTGCACTGCCGCTGTGACGTTCCCAAACCCCGAGCAGGGGGCACTGCAGGATGCACTGCAGGCCGCCTGCCCCGCAGCTGCTGTCGGAGAAGACTCCTGGCTGATACAGGAAACGTAAAGCACTGGGGTGGAACAGCTGAAGAAAAGCAGAGATGTGGCATCAGCCAACAACAGCCTTCTACAGCTTTAACCTACCCTGCACCTCAAAGGAGCCGTTGTCGCTGGGAGACCTCCTGACCTTCTCCACCAGCTGCTGTGTCTTTATTTTCACCTTCTCCCGCTGTGGATAACAGAAAAGAGCTTGTCACCCTCTGGGGAACACTGAAGGTCTGAGACACCCCCCGCTCCCTTCCCAAAGGCCCAGACAAAGGGTTTGTAATTAACAGCTCTTCTCAAGTCCATCGCTGTGTGTTTAACCAGTGCTGCAAAAAGGACCCGCAGGAATCCAGGCCAGCCATGAGCAGTAACAAGACAGCTCACATCCCCGTGAGTGCCCAATACTTTCTCCTCTCATTTTAGTACCTAATTATTGTCATGAAGAAGACTGCACGATAAACTTTAAGAGCATACAAGACATAGCACCCTCATGTAATAAATAGCCCCAGGTTTGCAGCTACCGAGCAACAGTTCAAGATAACAAAAGTGAAGGCATTTAACACCACACACAAGTCTTACACAAACGTCCTCACCAAATCTTCTAGTTTTTTTATGCAAGGAGAATGAAACTAACCTGGCTTGCCATTTCCAGTGACAACAGCCTTTTCACTACATCATCCACACTGCAAAGAGACTGCAGGTTAGTTCATAAGCTAGAAACGAAGTTTACTGAGCAACAGAAATGAGGTTTTCAGCACACATTAACTCAACTTTTACTCTACAAACGCACAGCACCTCTCCTCCCCTCCCAAACCCGTCAGCCGTAAACGGCTTCTTGCATTCCAAAGAAAAATCACGGCTGAGATCACAGGAGCTTCAAGCAGTTCTGCTGCTGCGGGAGCAGCGTTACTTCAAATGATGATGAGGTCTCACCAGTTCCACAACCATTACGTGCAAAGCGGGCGCTGAAGATGAACCCCCAACTAAGTGCACAAGGACAAAATAATTACATTCAAAACGGGCTCATTCCAAGGTCTGTGAAAGTCTCGGCTGTGCCACTGGGGGCTCTCCAGGCTCCACACACGAGCGGCTCCAGAATCAAAGCACAGAAATGCTGAACTCCAGGTCCAGACTTCAGAAGCAGCCGTTCGTTCTGAGCTGTTTAAACAGCGCTCTCCAGCCCCGGGTTCAAGATTCTTTCCAGTAACTCAAGATTATTTCTTTTTTTCGACAAAGTCCCCAGAAGATGTGGGCAGCCAGCACTGAACTGAACAAAACCCTTACAGATCCCTGATCAGCGACTGCTTCTGCAAATCTTTCAAAACAACTTTGCAGTTTCTGTGCTCAGTTGCGTCCCAGTGACTGCAGAGCACGAATTACTGAGCAGGTGGCAGCTTCCACCCGTTGTGGTGACGTGCATCTACGACAGCAATCCCTGAAGAGAACAGTCATTCCCTCTCCCTGCATCATACCTATTCATTATTGGGAGGTTGGCATAGTCTTTCTTCAGCATCGTGGGAGGGAGATCATCCAAGTGGCTGGGGATGTCTGCAAAGAGAAGATCCACGTTTGAGGAAGGGCAGTACACACTCAGAGCAAACTCCATCAGAGGAAACAAGCTGCAAAGAAAATCGATTGTGTGCTCCAGACGAGAAGCTGCAGGACTGCAGAATCCTGCAACAGGGATTTTATTTCCTCTCTCCTCTCATGATGAGCATACATCTGCATCTTTAAAGTGAAACCCACTGATTTCTCCAAATACCCTCTCTTCCTGCGGCGTTGAAGTGCAACTCCAACAATGTCAGCAGTGAAACGCTTCACCCCGTGGTCCCGGTAACCCTGACGTACCTTTTTTCTTCCTTCTTACAGGTCTGGCGTAACATCTGGCTGCCTGAATAAAGGGGCTGTAAGCTTGATGGAAGAAAACAAAGACTTATCAGACTTGCATGCACCTTTTCACCTATCCACATATTAAACATTGCCCAGTCTGTACTAGAAAACTGGTCGGAGTGCTTAGACTCCAAAGTGATCAGTGGCCACCAGGTCTTTTGTCGCAAAGGGGCGTGCAACGGCTCAGCGTGGTTCTCACAGAGGTGCTAAAATAAATGGGTGAAGCTGTGTTGTTTCAAGGTGCTCTGAATCCAGATGGTGAGAACAGAGCAGCAGGAAGGGGTTACAGACACTGAGCTGAAGCACGAGGTCTCCCCAGCTGAACTTGCTCATTGAGAGGGTTTACTCTGATGAACTAATTCAAATAATTTAACGTGTGAGCTGGCCGGGCTGCTCTGGACCATCCCAGCAACGAGACCTGGAGACAACCTTCGAGCACCACAGCGTGGTACAGACCAGAATGTTCACCAGCAGCCTGAACTGAGCCATTCTTTGACCTTTCAAGAACAAATTCTTCCAACTGCTCTTCCAAGGTCCCCGCTACTGGAGTCAGTACCTGCCTCAGGTCATTCACCTGCACCTCAAACACGTTGTCCAGTACAGACTT